GATATTAAGATAGATCCACGTAGCCCTAGTGGCACAGTGGTTAAGAGCTTGGCTGCTAACCAAAAGACTGGCAGTTCGAACCCACCAGACATTCCTTGGAAACCCTATGGGGCAGTTCTACTCTGTCCTATAGTGTCGCTGTGAATTGGAATTGACTCGACGGCGATGGGTTTGGTTTGGTTTATGCAGTGTTGAGGAGTCCTGGGTGGCACAGATCATCAAGACTTGACTACTGACTGAAAGGCTGGCAGTTCAACCCTACCCACAGGTGCCTCAGAAGAAAGGCCTGGCTATCTACTCTGCACACATAGGGTCACCATGCTTGAGATCAACTCAGCAGAGACTGGTTTGTTTTTGTATTTTTTTTTTTTTTCCATTATGTGGTGTCAACAATTGTATTGGTTTTTTCTTTTTAAAAATTGTTTCTAATTTTTATTAATATACTCCATGCACATGTTTGAGACCTCAGAAAGAACCCAAAAGCTTAAATAAAAAACCAATAATCCTTGTCTCCGCACCACCTCACTCCTTTTCTCCTTCCCAGAGGCAACAACTTTGAAATCTTGCAGCAACTGCTTCTGGCTTTCAACTCTATTTTTCCTTTAAACAACGTGCTTCTCTCCTAGCTCTTCTGGTTTTTAAAATTTTTTGTTAATCATATACACATTTTTAATTTCCAACAGCTCTTTTTTTCTGAGCTTATAATAATTTCAGTAGATTAGACATTTATTAAGTACATAAACATACAAGACAGCATAGTAGTAGTAGAACATGGAGTCATTCATTTCGGCCTCCATCTATCACTGCCAGTAAATACCTAGGGTCAGCCAGGGCTTTTAAGAGTGTTCAGTATTTGTAATTGGAGGCTTGGAGTCTAACTGGTTTACATGGGTTAGGTAGGACCTCCCCTCTGCAATGGAATTAAATTTCAGATGGCTCTTTTCAAGGTAAATTTGAGGATCAAGAGCTCTTGCTTGATCTCTTGTGGTTGTTTTATCTGCAGAGGTGATGGTGGTGTTGCACGGAGAAGGAGAGAGAGAGCTAGGGATCCAATTTCTCTGTATAATTTCAGTTTAGCCCTCTGTTCTCAGCCTGGAGTCTTGCCTCCACCTTCCCTGTCCATGGCAAGTCTAAGTCTTGACCTCTCCGGGACCTTGTAAGGAGAATCAGCTCTCCTCTCACCTTCTTACTTTCTGCCTGTGGTTTAGGCTGTAGCTTCTTCATTCCTGTGGATTCAGTTACCACTCCCCTGCCTGCTTCACATCTCCCCGACATGTGATGAAATCTCTCACCTGCACCTGTGACTTCTATAGTTTCTTTTGATATTGTTCTTTACTATCATGTTAGTAGGATTGGGAGGGAGAGGGGAAAAAAACCAAAAACACCTGGTCAGTAAGCCTTCTTTAAAAGAAAGATCAGAGTTGGATTTCTTGATGGGAAATATAATTCAAACTTGAATGGAAGCATAAGGAGTAAACTTGTACTCACTCTCTGGAGTAGAATACAAGTTGCTATAGCATTCTTTCGAAAGCCATTTAGTAAATACCTACTTTACTTTAGACCTTATATTAAGCACTTTTGTGAATGCTCAGCTAATCAGATACTAATCTTGACCTTAGGGATCTCAGAGAATATGACAAAAGAGAATCTACCTTAAAACAGAATTTGTTAAAGATTCCCCATCATTTAATTTTACTACTATCTACTATAAATCGAATTAATATTTTCTGATTACCTAGAACTAAAACGAAGGTTTAAAAATCTTTTCATCCCTTTATTCTGTTTTGGTTCAGCACTGTGCCTCCTCTATTCCATGGCTCATCCCCCTTGCTTATTGTTTTAGGCATGGTAGCCTCTTCACTACCCTACAGGATTCCTAGCAAAATCCTCTGCCAGCCCTTTCCGTCTACTATTCCTCTTGCCTGCACTGCTCTTCTTCTGTATTTGTGCATGCCTTGATCCCTTATTTTATTCAGATCTCTGTTCCAAGGCCACCTACTCAGAGGATTTCCCTGATCACCCCATATAAAATAGCATCCTCCGCCATTTTTTTAATCTTCTCAACCTACTTATTTTTGTTCTTCAAGGCAGATATCACAACTGGACAATATTTTATAGGCTTATTTTATTATCCATTCTCCCCCAATGGGATGTAGGCTTCACGAGGGCAAGGACTTTATTTTATTCACTGCTTAATTCACAGTACTTTAAACAGTGTCTAACACAAAGTAAAGCTCAATAAAAATTTGCTAAACCACTGAAGGGCTGACTGCTGATCGAGTATCTTTTTTGTTTTCCAGTTTGGGTTGTTTTTCCTAAGTCATATCAATAAACTCTTCTACTTCCCTTTTATCATTACAGGTTTTTGGAAGTTTTTTTTCCCCCCCCAATTAGAAAACTTTTCCAAATAGCTGATTCTAAGCAAAATCAAAATCCTATTCCTTTACCCTGCTTGAAAATAATAACTAAATTCCAAGAAGCATAATAGGCTCCTGATGTTCTCTGGGAAAACCTGACATGGTTAGAAATCTAGCACATTTTATCCTCATTTCTTCTTATTTTATTATGTTTATAATACTGTCTATCTCATTGGTGAGTCTTAATGGAGAACAAAACACTGTATTTGTACGTGGCAACTGGGTAGTGGCCATACTCCGTCACTGTTATGTAAATCTTTTCTTCACACAAGACCTCAAATTTGTGTCTTGAAAAATGACAAAACTCCTATGTGTCACAGGCCTTTATGTTTGCTCAAGAAAAGCTAAACCCTCAAATGTTAAATCTGAGAATGCCATTCATATATTTCAAAATGAGCTTCATGCTTCTATATAAAAGATTAAAATGCTATGGCTGAATGGTTCCTTAGAAATCATCCAATCCGACATTTTATAGATGGGGAAAAGGCTCAGAGTAAAAAGGGGCAATTTTATTCATGGTCTTAGAGTAGATGGACTTGAGTTGCAAATAGTAATGTTCAATCAAGGTTATCAGTATTTTACACAGATGGGCTAACTGTATATAAATGAGGATCTCCCTATTACCAACAAAAAAATCAAACATTAATAATGCATAGACTATTTGTTACTTAATTTACCACAGTATTTATCTACTCCTTTGGCATAAATAATTCAAAAAATAACATTAAAATCCTGAGAAATATTAAAAGAAAAAAAAACTAGTCTCTAATGTAGAAGATTTATCTCCCTAATATAATTAAGAATATTGAATTTTATTTCATATAAGGAACTCAATTTGCACCCACTACCTACCCAGATATGAAGGAGGTGTAGCACTGAGCCCTGAAAGAAGTGGAGTCCAAAGGTTTCTGGGAGTCGTCTAAAGGGCCAGCTGTCTCCTTCCCTGTGATACCCATGTAAGTCAGTCATATTATACAAGGTTGAAGGAAGGTTTGGTTGTTTTTGGTTGGATGGGAGCTGGGATTGAGGTGGGTGTGGTGCAGTGCAGGGGAAAAGTAACTAACTCACTGGCACCTAACTCACTTACTTTGTGACCTGGGCAAGACCCCCGTAGGCTAGCCTAAAATTGCCCATCTCCAAGTCAGAGCACTGGATGAGATGACATCTCCATCTCCAAGAGCCTTCAGTGATGTGAGCCTGTCCACCTATAGGTCTCATTCACTTCATGCACACAGAGCCTGCCCTAGTGCCAACTGCCCAGTTCCTTACCTGGCTAAACTCAGCACTTCTGAAAGTGCACCCATCTTCAAGGCTTTATGGGCGAGGGCAATGACACGGAAGCCTTGCATTGTGTAAGTCCTCAGCTCTTGTGAGAAATTTTTGGGCACTGTAAAGAAGGAGGGAAAGAGTAAATGTAAGTTCACACAAATGTAAGTCCTATGAAAGACTCTGGGATACACTCTACCCTGTTTTAATTTTCACTCCATGTTATGGATTGAATTGTGTCCCCCAAAAATGTGTGTGAACTTGGCTAAGCCATGATTCCCGGCATTGTGTGGTTTTCCACCATTTTGTGATATGATGTGATTATCCTATGTGTTGTAAATCCTAACCTCTATGATGTTAACGAGGCAGGATTAGAGGCAGTTACGTTAATGAGGCAAGACTCAGTCTACAGGTTACATCCTGAGTCAGTCTCTTTTGAGATATAAAAGACAGAGGTGAACAGAGAGGAGAGGGACCTCATACTACAAAGAAAGAAGTACTGGGAGCAGAACACATCCTTTGGACCCAGAGTCCCTGCGCTGAGAAGCTCCTAGACCAGAGGAAGATTGATGCATAGCACCTTCTGCCAGAACTGACAGAGAGAAAGCCTTCTCCTGGAGTTGATGCCCTGAATTTGAACTTCTAGCCTCCTAGACTGTGAGAGAATAAACTTTTGTTTGTTAAAACCATCCATTTGTGGTATTTCTGTTATAGCAGCACTAGAATACTAAGACACTCCACAACAGTACTTTAATAGAAAAACTACAGCTTTGTTCAAAGCCACAACTACATCAGTGTGTTCTTACTACGCTAATGGAAGTGAATGCCAAAGATGCACTGGTCATCAGCGTAGTGTCAAGTACACCCACTGGGTTCACTAAGAAACAGCCTCAGGACTATGTCTACCTGGTGTTTTGTACACCTGGATGAAATGAGGGAAATGGCTGCTCCTCTAGATCAGAGTTGAAAAACCACAACTTGCAGGCCAAATTAGGCCCACTGCCTGTTTTTGTAAATAAAGTTTTATTGCAACACAGACATACACATTCATTTGAATATTGTTTGTGGCTGCTTTCATGCTACAGTGGCAGGGTTGAGTAGTCGAGACAGACACTGTGTGGCCTGCAAAGCCTAAAATATTTACTATCTGGCTCTTTAAAGAAAAAGTTTGTCAATCACTTGCCCTAGATGAGAGATGACACAAATATTGGCATTGTAATCATAACTAATGTCTATAATTTGCAAAATCTTTACGTTTTATGTTGTGCCTATAAAGGTATTAGGAGAAAGCATAGTATAATAGGAGGTACACGGTTTAGGTTCCAAAACACTTGAGTTCTAATCTCCATTCCACTACCAACTAGCTCTCTGACCTTGGGCATGTGAAGTCTGTCTCTGGACCTAAGTTTTCCTATTCACAAAAGCGAGGGGATAACAGATCACTATGCCCCCATTCAGCTTGTTGTCGTTGCTGTTAGTTGTCATCTAGTCGATTCTAACTCATGGCGACCTCAGGTGTGCAGAGTAGAACTGCTCCATAGGGTTTTCTTGGTTCTGACCTTTTGGAAGCAGATGGCCAGGCCTGTCTTCCAAGGCACTTCTGGGTGAGTTTGAACCACCATCCTTCCAGCTAATAGTTGAGTCATTCAGCTTTGACTTTCTATAATTCTAAACTAACCCTGGAGATGGGGAATTAATTTCAAGGAAGCTCTCAGCTCTCTGTTTCTTAAATCCAGGAGAAGATATATCATTGAAGGTGATACTAGTGCTAAGGATCGAGGGTTAGGATAGTTGGAAGAATTGGAAGGGCTATCAGAAGAATAAGAAGGTGCCAAATGGCAAGCCCAAATCCTTAAGGATAGAGCAAGAGCAATAGAAACCGCTTAAAATTTTAACAGGATAGCCACTTGTGTCTGTATGGTGGGGGCGGGGCAGGGGAAGGCTGGTGATCTGAAAAGGAGAGGGTTAACAAAAACTATGAGGGAAGGTCAAAGTTAGAAAACAAGACAGGCATTTCAAAGGTACGAAAAGACTCCAAGTGGAGAAAAAAGTTAAAGAATCATTTGGCAAATCTACAATTCTGTGCACAAGTTGATGGCTCTCAGCATCCATAAGGAGAATGTTGATGAAAATTAGGAGAAAAAAGACCCCTTCTATCCAAATGAACTCATTTGAATGCAACAATATTCTTATAAATCTGGGCTTCTGCTTAGAGAGTGCGTATGTTTATAAGACTAAGAAACAATACAAATCAGCTCAAAATCTGGCCCAGAAAGATAAAATTGCTCTGAAAATGATCAATTACCTTGCTCTAACACCATCTAATTTACTCTAATCACATTTTTTTTCCTAAAAGATTTATCTTTTCTGTATTCTCCTCCCATCAATCTGTCTGAGCCCCCATACACGGAGCCAAGTGCCCAGGGATGAAGGAGCACCCCTGTCTGAAGAATTAACCTTGTGCTCCTTTGGTCCCTCTGAGTGCTACTCATTCTCACCCTCCCTGCTTCTCTGACCCCAAGTGGCTCTCCTTATTCTGCTCTCAATGCTTGTTTCACATCGCCTTCCCTGATGCTCCATTTTGATTATGTTTTTCTGGCTGGACCACAGCCAGGTATGTCCTTCCTGTCTTGAGACGATCACCCCTGCCTTGCTGGAGCAACTGGGCCCGTTCCCACCCACCCATAAAATGACCACCTCCACATTCATTGATTTAGGTTTGTTTACTTTATGTGTTTCGACTTTTAAAATGCTTTACCTCCTAACTGGACTGCATGCCTAATCACCCTCCTGAACAACTGCCTCCTCTGCCAGGAGATCAAAGATTCTAGAGAAAAATCCTGATCAACAGCGGGGAAAATGTGAAACAGAATTTCAAATTCTCATGGAATCCAGAGTTTCTGGAGCCATTGAGGCTAGACGACCCCACAAAACTATTGCCCTGAGGTAATCTTTAAAGCTTAGCCT